ATGGTATGGTATGGTATGGTATGGTATGGTATGGTATGGTATGGTATATTGTGTTGTGTTGTGCTGTGTTGTGTTATATCGTACTATATTACATTATATTATATACCATTAGCCTTCTCATTGCTGCCGAGGTGATGGCCTCAGTGAGATGTTTCATGGTAGAAGTGGATGCAGACTGTGAAGAACTACACAAAGCTGTGATCCAGCACAGGGACACTGACCCTGGCTGTGCTGCCCTCCCCGTTGCCTGCTTAACCCACCCCTGGCAAACCTCAGCACAGCAGGAACATCGCACACACATGCAGAAAATATTACAGTTGTGTACAGTTGACACTCACATAAACACAAACAGAAATCATGTGGGAATTTCTTATAATGAACAGCAGCAGATGTTTTTCTTGCAGGCAAAAGAGGAACAAATACATGCTTGACACTTAATAAAAACATCAGTATGTTTGTGCCCAATACACTAAAATACTGTTCAGCAATAATTCCACCTTGCAAAAATATTATCAGTGTAATGCTGCCAAGGCCGTTGTGTGTATCTTGGCCAACCTGGACATGGGCTGTAGCAATTTTTATGTTCGACTTTTCAGAAACCTCTCTGTTTTGTTAGTCAATCAGTTTATCTTGCTCATTCTGTTCCTCATCCCTTGCCTATTTTACCCCTTATTAATCTCTCTTTCTCCTTTGCCAGACCATGCAAAATGTCATCCAAATTGGCCATTCCTCATTACACTTCAGGTTACATTAGAACATTCATATATACACAGTTCACAGAGTGGACTCCTCCAATACAGAGTTCCTTTCCTGTGTCAAATGATACCTGGTTGGCTTGCAGAGCAAGGAGCAACAGTTCCTGCACTAATGGCAGGGATAAGGTCTGACACCCATTAAGGTTTGACACCATGTCAAAAATACACTCTCATGGACATAACGCGTTTCTTATGCTGAAAATTAACATTTAAACATTATAATTTGGTATTGACATGATATTCCACATTTTAAAATATATTGTACTTTGTGCATTACCTTTTCTTTCTAATGTTGGTGTATGTGAAATCATACTGTAAAGAAGGTGTAGAAAACAAAGGAATGTATGTTGGAGGGAACTCGGTTGGGAGGAATTGTTTGGGAAGTTTGGGGAATTGTCTTTTTCCTCTTCAAAGCCAGGGTTTAATAGGAAAGATGAGTCCTAAGAATGCAGACTCAATCAGAGGGCTAGAGGAAGTGAAACAGATGGCAGCAAGCAGAAGATAAAGAAAATGCTTTATTCTCCAGTGGGAACCTGGTGAAAGCTGTGCCAGAAGGTGTTGCCTGGCAGAACACATCACCAGGAGTGAAAGCTCCTTTCTATCAGAAGGAGAGCCAAGAATTAGAAATGGAGCTCAGATAGGAATTCAAAATCAGCAAGGAGGAAAAAGGCTACAGCACTGTCAGCCCATCATCTTCTAACATATGCAGAACAAAGAAATTCTAGAAGGTGGGTTTGGAAGGATATGAAGGCAGCAAATAATGAGGGATGATCAAGTACAAATTGAAACGGAATGCAGAATGAGGTTCATAGTAACACAAAGCTAGGCAGGAGAGAAAGTGTTAAGCAGAGAAGAAAACAGTCCTGGCACACTGTATGCAGGCAGAGAGGGAGACCTGGGGTGCTGCACAGAAGTTGTGAGGCAGTGCCACACAGAGTGTGGCTTTCTTTCTGCTTTGCAGAAGGGCAGACCCTGAGGCTTGTAAGAGTCTGTGGTACAGGGATGGTCCTCTGCACAGAGGATGCTGAAAATTCATTATCTGCAAGGTCACAGACTGTGAAAAGTGGATCTGAGGCTAATGGAGGAAAACCTCTGGCTATTCTCCTACATTTGGTCAAGTGACGCTGCCAGCTGCCTGCACAGTGCTACCAGGGCTGCCTCACCAGGTGGTAAAAGCAATGGCAACATGCAAAGAAATGGAGACCTGGGTGGGCAGAACTCCTCCCAGAGGAGTGAGGAGGTGCGATGGGATGAAACACGAAACAGAACGTTCCTGGGCAGAGGTTGTGAGGGCCTGAAATATCGGGCTGTTGGGTGGCAGAGCCTTGGCACAAGCTGACCAGGGAGGTGTGGAGTCTCGTTCTGTGATGTCCGAACACACCGGGACACATTGCTGTGCTGCTGCTGTAGGAAACTGCTGTGAGGTTCCAGAGGTCCGTTCACAAAGTCCTGCGACACTGTGTGTGTGATCAGAGCACGCCAACAGTACACGTGAACAGCAATCTGAACACTTTCCCTGCATTTCCTTGCTGGGGCTCAGAGGTGATGAGGACCTCAAAACAAACAGCGGGAATGCGTCTGCCCCGGGCAGAAGCCATCTGCACACCTGAGCCTAACAAACGCACCGGGCTCAGCCAGGCGCGTGCGAACTCTTCTAACACCAGTGAGTTCTTGGATTGCTGGTGCAGCGGCAGTTAACCTCCGCTGAAGCTGGAGAAGGCACCGCTCTGGAAAGTAGCACGGAAGGGACAGATGGACCTCCACGCCGTTAGGGGGCGCCGCCCGCCCCGTCCGCGACCTGCGGCCCCCCCCACCCTTCCCCCGCCCCCTCCGCCCTCCCTCCCGGAACGAATGCCCGGGCTGCGCGTGACGTCATCGCGGCGAGCGTGGGGGGGCGGGGTGCCCTCCCGGCATGCAGCGCGGCAGAACTTGAGCCCCATCTTGGGCGAGCGGGGCGCAGACGGAGCCCGCGCCTGCCGGTGCCGCTGCGGAGTGACGGGACGGCTGCGTCCGCCCGTCGCGGAGGGGCCGGCCTCGCTCGTCCTTCCTCCTTCGCCTCCGCCGAGCCGGTCCTCCGCCCGGGGCTCGCCTGCGGGCCGGTTCCGAGCGAGATGCGTCTGGCGCTGGTCTCCAGGTAGAGCGCGGAGCAGGGCGGGGGGACGCGGGGCCGCCTGGGCCTCGCCCGGCCGCCGCGGGGCCCCTCGAGCGGGGCGGGCCGCGGCTTCGCGTCTGCGGCCGCCCCCTCCCCCCCTCGGCCGGCAGGAAGCCACGCGGCGCGCTCGGAGCAGGGCCGCGGCGGGGAGGAGAGCCGCGTCCCGGCGGCGGGAGGAGGGCTGCGGGCCGGGAGGAAGGGGAGGAGCGCCGCGGCCCGCCGCCCGCCGCAGGAAGCCGCCGGAGGATGTACGGTAGCGGCCGGGAGTCGGCCCGCGCGTCCTGACAGCCCGTGGTGGGCCGCGCTCCCCCGACCTGGCCGGCCCGGCCCCTCCGAGCGGGGGAAGCATGTCCAAGATGCCGGCCAAGAAGAAGAGCTGCTTCCAGATCACCAGCGTGACCACGGCGCAGGTGGCCAGCAGCATTACCGAGGACACGGAGAGCCTGGACGACCCGGATGAGTCCCGCACCGAGGATGTGTCTTCTGAAATCTTCGATGTTTCCCGAGCCACCGACTACGGCCCCGAGGATGTCTGTGAGCGGAGCTCCTCTGAAGAAACTCTCAACAACGTGGGTGAGGCTGAAACTCCCAGCAGCGTCTCTCCCAACCTCCTCCTGGATGGGCAGCTGGCTGCAGCTGCTGGTGGGGGAGCTGCTGTGCCACCAGCAGTGGTCCCAAATGGGGGGGCCGTGCCCAAGAGCTCTGCCGTGCCCCTGCCGGCTGCCGGTGCTGCCACCGGTGCTCAACCTGCCTTGCCCCCATCGGGGCCTTCTGCGCCTGCTGCGCCTGGGACAATGGCTCAGACAGTGGCTGCTGCATGCAGCTCACGTTTCAGGGTGATCAAGCTGGATCACGGAACTGGGGAACCCTACAGGCGAGGACGATGGACTTGTATGGAGTATTATGACCGGGACTCTGATGGCAGTGCTGTCTTGGGCAGGACTGGAGATTGCATTAGGCACAGCAGCACCTTTGAGCAGGCTGCTCAAGAGAGGGACAGTGGGCTCGGTGCCACAGGGGGTTCTGTTGTCGTCTCAGCTGTGCCAGCGTCGGCACATGGCCCTGATTCCATAGCTGACAGTTCCCTTCCTGCTGTGTCACAGCTGCTCCAGACAGAGAAGATGAACCAGGCCTCTCTACAGCAACCTAATTTTGTCATTGGGCAACAACAGCAGTCGCAACAACCCATAGGTGGGGCCATGCCTCAAAGTACTGCTCAGTCTATGTTTTCTGGAGCTTCAGTAGCAAATCAGCAGATAATGGTGCCACAGCAATCACAGCCACAGGTAAATACGCAGAGCGTTGCGCAGGCTGGACCCAATGGAAAAGGCATAGCACCTCCAAATGTAACGATGGGCCAGCCAAGCATTCCTGCGGCACAGCAGCAGGCGCAGCAAGCGAGCGTACCAGTGACTCAGCCTCAACAATTTACTTATTCTCAATCCCAGATTCCACCGGTGCACCTACTGCCAACGCAACCTTCTGGTCAGTCTGAATACATGCAGCACATGACAATTATGCAGCCGCAAGGAGCTATTCAGCAGGCTCCTGCAGGCTCTGTTCCAAGTACGGCAGCCTCCACCCTGCCTGTGGGACAGGTGGCTGGCCTGAGCCCTTCACCTGGGGGAGCACCGGTGATGGGGGTGCCAGCGCAGCCAGGTGAAGCAGTTGCACAGGGATCAGGAATTATGCAAAGCGGCCAGACGCAGGCTGGTCATACTGCTGTCCAGCAGCCAGGAGGTGTGGTGCAGCAAGGAATTGGGCATGCAGGGGTTGTGCAACAGAAATCTGTGACTCAGCATCAAATGAGTGGAAGCAGTCAAGTGTCTGGAATGCCTGGTGCTCCCCATGCCGTGGTTTCTGGAGTTCAGAACGTGCCTGCAGTTGTGCCCGGTACGAGTGTGCCTAGTGTGTCTACCACTTCTGTTACTATGCCAAACGTCCCTGTTACTCTGGTTCAGTCACAGCTGCCTAGCCACACTTCTGTCAGCAGAAGTACCGGTGTTGTCCAGCAGCAGCAGCAGCATGTCGGGCACTCCTTGATACAAGGTGCACCTAATGTACCTACAAATCTGTCACAGTCGAACCTCGGACAGTTTCAGGCTCCTGCTCAATCTGTAGTAGGCCAGATTGATGATACTAGAAGAAAATCGGAACCCCTACCTCAGCCACCACTTTCTCTTACAGCTGAAATTAAACCTCTTGTGAAGCCTCCTGTTCCAGACACTCTAGCAAATCCTCTTCAGTTACCTGCAAGTACTCCCATGAACAGTCTTGCCAGCTCTGTGTTTGGCATATCTATTCCTGTTGATGGCGATGAAGACAGGTATGAATTATTTTAAAACACTATAAAAATACCTTTTCTTAAGAAAACGGTCTTTAAGTTGTTGTCAGTGCTTTTAGAGTTCTTATTTTCAATGTCTTAACTGAAATTGTAGAGTTTTCTTTGAAGTGTACAATTTACTGCTTGCCTAAAAACTGTTTTGTACTTCTTGTTCTTGAAAGCTGGCAGAAAGTGGCTGTAAAGCTGCTTAGTGCACAAGTAATGTAATCTCTGAATCAAAGACGGACTGCGAACAGTCACCCCTCCTACATCTTCACAGTGTGAGGAAGTCTATTCACTCCTTTCCTCTGAGCTTACTGTGAAACAGGCAAATGACAGCAGGGTTAAAGTAGCGCTCCACCGCTGCATTGCCCTGTTAAAGATGAGCGTTGCTGTCCTAGGGCTGTCGGGTGAGGTGCCTTGGAGAACATGGCATGCTGCTGGCACTGTCCTGTTTTCTTACCCTGCTGGTGAACTTTCATTTTGTATCATGTCAGTAAGGAGAGTGCTTGCAGCTGGGTATATGTGATGTGCTAACATAGTGGAAGGTCTAGCGATGATCTTTGAATGAAATGACTACCACTTAACGCTGCTTCTCTGGGTGAGGATGTCGACACAGTGGAAAAGTACAACCTCAAACAACCACTTTCTTAGTTGGAAAGTAGGAACGGATTTTTACAGTATAACATGTAATGTGAGCAAACTCACCAGGGACCTGAGAGAGGGAGCACCCAGTTCTTTGGTCCTCACAGGCCTTGCAGACGGCGCTTGAGTGCGGCGCTGGCTCTGAGCTGACTGCTCCTTTCAGGAAGAACTTCCAGGGAAAGCAGCATTTGAGTATTGAATTAATATCATTGCCATTTATTGCTGGACTTACCGCAATTTGGAGGAATGAAACATGAGTGGGGGTATTCTTGTTCCTGTTTTTAGAGATAGGAATGGCAGCATTATGGGAAGTTCTGATGTGCTAAACTGTCCTATAGGCTTTCCCTCACCTGGAAAGAATGTCAGACTGTAAGATGTCGTCAGCGTTTCTTGGAGTGCTTTTAGTAAAGCTGCTGCATATATGGGGGTGGGGCATAGGATGGAGAAGGCACCTCAAGCAAATCGTTAAGAATTGTGTCTATGGTGATGCAGGCCTTGTGCTCGCTGCAGCTTTGGGGCAGTAGCTCTGCTAAGGCATTCATACAAGCAGAAGTGGTGCTGTGGGCAGCTGTGCTCCAGTGAAAGCAGTACAGCTTTAGCTAGCTGCCAGGATGCAGCTGAGTGTGCCTGCCTTCGGGAGGTTGCTGACCAACTTTTCTTTGTGCTGAGGAGGTTTGATTTCAAACTGATCACTTTTTAATGTCCTAGTATACAAAGGGAAATAATCTTAGTGATTTTAACGGCTGATGTTCATTTTGCATAGCCTGTCATCCCAGATGTTTCTATAATTCATAGTAACAGTCGTGACTGTGCCAAATGCATCGCTTCATGTCATGATAAGGAGAACTCACCAGCAGGTGGGACACTTGGTGGGCACTAGTGGAACAGGCCTTAGACAGCATATCCTGAGCAGTGCTGTTTTTAAAATTATTTTTGTATTTTTGTTTTGAAGAATTGCAGAATTGTTTCATACAGTGCTAGTTTCTAAGGAAGCGCTTCTGGAAGCATGGCCACAAGAGCCAGCAGCGAGGAACAGGAACAGCTGCTGTGTGCTGTGTTTGCTATACATGCCGTGCTGTGATGTGCAGCAGAGAAATCAACTTGTGGTTATCTTTGGAGAAATGCAGGCTTCTCTGTTGGGTGCTTCTGTGCCGGGAGATAAAGGCTCGCCGTTCGCTGGAGTGGCACAGAGTGGAGCTGTGTGGCAGGGAGGCTCTGCCGGCCTGGAAGTTTTCTTTAGGGATGCTGGAAGGCAAGGAGAGCTCACTCTGAACATGCCTACACATCACACAATGTAGCAGATGTAGTTCAGAGCTTATTTCTCACCTCTCTCAAACTCTTCCCTCAGGAAGCAGCTTGACTTCCACTGGTTTCAGACCAAGGAGAAAAGGAAAACCCAGCAGCTTTTTGGGTGCTGCTTTACTACTTTATTTGCTTTACTTGCTGAGAAGGCCTTATTGCAAAACCATTGCTTGTCTGCTCTTTTTGTCTTTTTTTTCTTTCCAGATGTTTAAACCACACCATTACTCCTATGGGCATGTTCCCAGTTGCTTTATGGGCTGAAATCAGCAGTGAAATAGTTAATGAAGACCTTCAAGTGTCATTAATAGGCTGAGGGTTGACACTGATAACATTAATAAGGCACAAAGGGAGTTTGCCCACCGTGAGTCACTGCTCTCCTGCAGGTTCAGGAAGTGAGCACTTGGCTTTGTTTAGAGGATTTGCTCTGTGGTTGTGAGAGCTAGAAATTTTGTGGAAAGTGTTTTTCCTTTCAGCCCTAGTGTGTACGTGCCAGGAGGGTGGACTGGTGTGTAGGCAGGTGTCTGCAGTTCTTTTCACACCTTCTCCTGTTTTAAAGCATTCATTACATGTTTGGAACTGAATTTGTGTGGATTAATCTTATGGTCATCTTCTAAAATTCACAAAGGAATGCCATATAGCTCTGAGTATCTTCATCTAGTAAATCGCTCCGCGTTTGGAATATGAAGAGGAACTCTGTTAAAGGAATGCTGGTTCAAGAAGGGGCTTCCTTTGAAGCAAACTGAGAACTGCAGTGAGGGGCAGAGGTCTGTTAGGAGAAGCAGCTTCTCATCTGAGAAAAGTTCTTTGTGTTATTCCTGTCTGTTTTAAAAATTGCTTTGTATCTAAGGTAGAATTGTTCTGTCTTATCGATTTGAAGATGTAGAACTGAATTTTTTGCAAGGCATTTTGCCTAAAATCCTTTGATTTCCTGCTTTGAGTAGTCTGTTACCCACTGAGTGATGCAGAATTGGGTAATTGTGAAATCTTATCAAGGTGGTTGGAAGGGAAGTGGGGTTTGAAGGGGAAAAAACAAGTACCTGGGGCACATCTCAGTCTTCTTTTAAGAAGCAGAGCTGTGCTATTTAGTTTATGCAATTAATTTGCTAAGATATTAAGAAGAAATACATCTTGTACTAATTATGAAAGATCTGCAGAGTGACTTGACTTGATTTTTCCTCTCTAAATGTGGCTATAAGCAGAGTAGACAGCAGTGTCCAAGAATCTGGGAAATGGTGTTCTCAGGGAGGCAGCTGTGAGCCTTGCAGTGCACTTTGAATTTGTTATCTGGCAAAAACTGTGAAAGCAGGCAGAAGTGGGATCCAAGTCAGGCAGGCCTTCAGTAGCTGTGCTTCAGGGTCGGTGTCCATCAGTTCTTCTTCACCTTCATGTCCAAATGCCCAAATTCATAGTTGACAAGCGTCACATTTCAGTTGGCTTTGTGTTGGTTGTTTTTTTTTTCCTCTCCCCCTTGGGGGAAAAGAAATATGTCTGTGTGTTGAAAGAATGTTACTGAGAGAGCTTGGGCAAACCTCCTACATGCTTGGCAGACTCTGGGGGTAAGATATTACAGGAGTGCTGGAAAAGGAGCGGGGTGTCGATCGCCTTCCAGAGATATCTGACCAGCTCGAGCTGGGCAGGCTGTATTCCAGGAATGCTAATGAATGGCTGCAATTGTGAATGGCTGCTGCAGCAGCTGAGCTGCTGGTTATGCAGACCCGCACAACACACTTCTCTGCTCAGTTAAGTCACTTATTTGTATAGTGTACTAATTGTTGCTGATAAACATGACTGGGGGAACTGAGCTCCCAAGACCTTGTTTGTAATACAAGGGCAAAACTGAGGAACAGACACTACAGGCAGCTTTGCTACCAACTTGTTTTGTGTTGCCCTGGGTGTGTATTTGAGAAGAAAAATGGAAGTGTTCTGAAAATGCATACCAGTAAGCAGTACTTGAGTTGCGTTCCTGTTGATTTTTGGCTTTCCATGTCTTCACTCTGTTCATAAGCTTATCAGAGCTTTGCACTGTACTGCAGCTGCAGGGGTGAATAGTTTTCTGCTATCCTAGGGGCTTCTGTTTGAGCGTTAGTATGGTGGGTGATGGTGTAACATGACAGATCTGTGCTGGAATCAGGAGTGTTTGAGACATGGTGGGGATGGGACTCCAGAGGTGAATGTTTCAGTTGGTACCAAATGACCATGCAAACAGCACTGCTGTTGGTTGTATTTGGTTCATGTAGGAATTCATGTAGGAAACCTTCTGTAAGATCACTCTGACTGCATGCTGCTTTCTGGACTGTGGCACCTGTTCTGCTTTCTGTTCTTGACTGTTAGAAGACAGCTGAACAGAAGAACATGGTTGCTCACCTGGCAATGATGTTCCTCAGTTTAAACATTTCAGTGCCTTTGTCAATGGCAAGTGAATGCAGCCTTAGGACTAATGAGGTATAATTGTTTCAGATGAGATAGTTATTAGAAGGAAGAAGGGAGAAATACTTGAAAGAAACTCACAGGTGGAAGCAGTTGGTTTTTGGTGTGCTGTAGTATACCAGCTCTGAAACAAATGATTCTCTGTACTTTGTACACTCAAGTTCAAGCAGCCCCACTGCTGTAGGTTTTCCTTCTGTCCCCTATGGAAGAGTGCAAGTGTTCATAGCTTTTCTCTGAATGCTGTTTTGTATGGCAGGAATAATACTGTAGCCTCATGGGGGCGTATTGGAAGTTCTTGCTAAAAGTTGAACTTTCCAATATTTAGCAGGATGGATGCTGATCTACTGGGGCTGGGTTTCTCGCTGCTGTTAATCTCTTTTGGCCCTAGGTGATCCTGCAGCAAAATGCAATTGCTCCCTGTGCTGGTATGGGGTGTTTGAATGTTGGCCCGTTGCATTTCAAGGCAGCTGTGTTTCTTTGTTTGTGAAGCTGGTGATTGGTAGCATCTGTTGCTCTTGAAAAATGCCAAGTCTGCTAACATGCAGAACTGATAAAGATTCCTTAGGATTGTATGAGAGTCTTCTGCTGAAATCTGTTTTAGTTCTGGAAGGCGGTTCGCCTCATGTTCA